CCCGCTCTCCGGGCCCGGCGGCGGTGTGTGGGGACGAGGGGGCGGCCCTCTCCCCCTGGCCGGTGCCGGGGTGGGTAAAGACCTCGCCGCGAAAACCGGTCCTGACGGGGCCAGAAAATCTTCATTGAACAACGAGCGACAGCCCACAGCGGAGCCACCCCGGGGTGGTGTTCGACACGGCGCCTCACGGGCTGGGTGCTGTGAGGGGAGGCGGAAAGGTGATGCCGCCTGGTTAAAATGTCAGCCTAGAAGAAGAAGAAGAAAAAAGAATCTTATTACTATATTTTAGAGGCGTTTTTAACGTGTCTGGGCGGGTGGGAGAAGATCACAAGAGAAGGGTTAGTAGTGTGTCAGCGTTTGGATCGCTACAGGCTCTTGGAGTTAGGAGCTGTTGCCGTGAGCGTGAGAGACAGACAGAAATGTTTACAACTATTCTGTTTCTCATTATTTCTGTTCCTGAATGTTTCCATCTCTGTCAGCACAGGCTTGTCAGTTTGTTTTGAGCCTTTGGATTTGATTCTCTTCCACTAGTATGGCTAATGTATCAAAATCCTGCAGGGGAAACCTCTTTTCAGGAAAGTAAAACTGTGATATTTTGATATTTTTTTTTTTTTTCCTCCTGGAAAACACTTCTCTTTTCACCTCCACAGCTTGGTTTTTGGAGGAGTCCTAATACTGTACTGCTCTTCCTAAACCTGTATCTCCTTCTTTCCGGGATGAGTAGTTTTTGCTCCAGTGCTTCAGCAAAGTATTGTAGCACTTGTAACCTCGAACAGATTGTAATCACAGCCAGAGAACAGCAGCTTCAATTTTCCCCATGTGTGCATGTATATTTATTGTACATACATACATACATACGTGCATGGAGGTCTCAGGCAGAAATGGAAAAACTTGGGTTCTTGCTTGTGCAATTACTTCTTGTTTAGTAGGTCTCGATTAATGCTTGTATATAGAATTTGTTCACCTGAAGCTTCTTGCAGTGTCACGGCTTTCTTGTAGGTTTTTTTAATATCCTTTTGTATTAAAATCCTTTCTTTTGTAAATACCCCGTGCTTTTGAGATGGCCAGGATAGTAAGTTTGCAAAACAATCAGCTTTGCTCTTGAAAAACAGAAATAATTTGGATTGTATTTCACAGAAGAAAATAGTTTGTCAGTTGGTAGTTAAGTCATTTCATAAATTCCAGCTTGCAGAACAGGAAAAACGTATTCAGATTATTTTGTATGGTCTAGCTTCTAGATAATCAGAAGGGATAGTGGTGATGCTTTTTCTTTGCTTGCCTTTTATAAAGATGCTGGTGTACACAGCAGTTATTTAGATGTTTCAGTGGTTCACAGTGGTGGTTTCAGCTGCCGCCTTCCCATATGTGCCATTAGCATAAAGAAATTTAGTAAGGAAATAAAATGAGTTGCTTTTATTTTATGAAAAGCTTCAGATGCTGGAAAATTGCTTGCATCACCTCTCTTCTTCCTCCCCCCCTGCTGTCTCCCCATTTTGGGTTGCTAAATCTGTAGGTCTTCATTCTTACCTGGCTAGACCAGGGTCTTTGATGCTGATAGGGTAGGAACAATGAAGAAATATTATAAAAGCTTGCATATAAATACATGAAACTAATTTATTTTTCCTGCTAGTGCTCCCAGGATGTCTCATTATGGAAGATCCTGTCTCTTTGACTGACAGTGTCAGTGCAGATTTTCTCTGGAATTACGTCAATCCATAGAATCTTATGTTCTTTGAAAATTTAGGAGGGGGAGAAAACCCAACCAACCCTCAACCAAAACAAAAATAAACCTTTCATTAAATTGTAGCTAGAGGTATAAAGAAAAATTCTGCTTTAAATGTTCTGTCTACTGTGTACAACACAATCAATGGCTTTCATTATTTGAAGTGGTTATTATTAGTCATGGTTTTGCCATACATAAGTCATAGAATCCTAACTTTTTTGTAGCTCATTTAAACTGATCTGCAGCCCTGTGAGGGGATTGAAATGACTCTGGGGTCAATCAGCCTTCAACCAGACTGTAAAAGAGGAAGATAGCAGAAGTGTTGCCTTTCTGCCTCAAAAGGATTTTGTTTGTGAAAGCAAAAGAATTAAGGCCTCGGTTTTTAACATCCTTTGCACTTAAAGGACATATAATTGTAAATGTTTGGAAGTTGTTTACACTCAAAAGGGTAGCACTGAAGAAAGGATTCTAATTTATAATGTGGTATTATATATATTTTTACAATATACTGTATTTTAATGCTACAGTATTTACATCCATTTTCCTAATAGTTTGTTGGCACGTATTCCTGCAGTTCAACTGCCAAACAATGAAAATAAATGATTGAGTTTTACTTTCCAGTGTTATAAGCAAGTCTATTTACTCACCAAAATTTTAATGGAAATAATGGAACACTTGAGAAAAATAAATAGGAATTGAAGCTGCTTACATTACATTCTCTGGTTGAATTTCCAGGTTTTGAATGGATCCAAAAATGCTCTTTAGCTTTTTCGGTGGATTTTAGTCCAGCTTTCAAAAGAAATAAAGATCAAATCAATGAAAATAAAGAGCCTTAAAGTATTTCTAAAATTTCTTTCCTTTTATTACTTATCCTCAGTTTTTTAGCATTTAGCAAAAGGAAGGGAGGACTGGCAATTGACATGCTCAGCTTCCATCTACTTGTGACAAGTGATGTGAATAGCTACATGTGTTAACAAAGCTCAAAGTACACAATGCATTAAATAATGAAGTTACAAATACAAAATTACGGTTTGCATTTAAGACAGTGCCTTGCTGGTTTTTTTTTGCTTTAGATAGCTTAGTTTGCAAGAAGTCATACAGTTACTCACCCTAGCCTGTTTGGTTACTGTGGTGCCTACATGGTTTGAACTTTTACTAGCTAATTGGTTTCTCCTTGCAATAATTTTTTCTCTGTGCTCTATGGTAAGTCAGTTGTCCACCTGGGGTATGCTTGCATTGCATCAAAAAAACTCAAAAGGTCTAGAGGAAATTCTGGATTTAGCAAAGGTGCCTCTAGCTCCAGAGATTGGTATGTGTCTTACGGAGTTCTATACAGACAGAAATCTGTTGCAGTTGTCTGAATTAGTAATGATGTTTAGACATGAAAAGTTACTGTTTTGTTATACTAGCATCTGATAGCTCCCAGACAGGTTATCCTTCTTTGTGTGTGTGTACTTTACGCACAACAAAAAAATATCATTGCCATGGAGAGTTTACAGTTTCTGCCTGTGTTATACAACTAATCTGGTCATGAGCTGCATGTGTAGTTAGAATTGTTCTATCTGTGGTCCACTCCTGGGCACACCTTTTTCAGAAACCTCTTGGGAGTGAATTGTGGGAGGATGAATTAATCTTAAGAGATGCCCACCTGCACCCAGGCACTGTTTCCTACCTACCCCTTTATTGGTAAGTCATGTGCCAGCTAGATTTACCATGTTTTTCTTGTGCCACCCTTTTCCCAGTGAAGTCTTAGAAGAAGATATTTATTTCCAGGCTGAGAGATCAGGTTGATTACCCAGAACAGTCTTGGCCGTATGTTAGGAAGACTTGACTTTACCCCACAAGTGCATCCCAGTTTACTTCTGAAGACTGCTTTACTCATATCAAATTATGAGTGCATAACATATTTGCTAATAAGGTAGTAGAGGGACCATGGCATATTTGTTGCTAAACTAAATTCATACAGTCTGCCCGAGTGAAAAGCTTTGTTACTGTTGGGTGAAGACTCTTGAGGCTTTTTTGTGGTGTCTTCGGGGGTCTTCTAGTCTTAATGAATGGTTTTTCAGTAGTTTAAAAATAATTTGAACAGTTGTTGTCTTATCATTAAAATGTATTATTTGGAAAAAGTCTTCCTGGAATATTTAACGTAAAAGATACCAACTCGTTCTAGTATGTTTATTTGCTGGAAAAGAACAAGAGGCTGCATGTCTGACATCACTGGGAGTAGGAATAATGTTATATAGAGAGATTTTTAACATTCATCACAGATACTGTTTTGTTTAATAAATGATATGTGTGAGTGTTGAAGTTGCACTGTAAGTCATTTTTAGCCAGGCATATTCGGTCTACCGAATTCGGTCTGTATTGTTCTTCAACAATACAGAAAGATTGGTATGGGAAATGATCCAGGAGAGCTGGTTGATTTTCAAGGTTTGCCTCCTACAAGCTCAAGATTGGTCCGTCCCCACATGCATGAACAAGGAGCTCCTGACAAAACTCAGGCATAAAAAGGGAGCACACGAGAGTTGGAAACAGGGTCAGGTCACCCCAAGAGTAATATGGACACTCTGCGTGAGAGTGCAGGTATGCTGTTAGAAAAGCCAGAGCCGACCTGGAGTTGAATCTGGTGAGGTATTCAACTTGTGAAAGGCAAGAAAAAGGGCTTCTACAGGTGTATCAGCAGCAAAAGGGAGATTAGGGAAAATACGGGCCTGCTTCTGAATGGGGGGAGGGACCAGGTTAAAAGAAGGACATGGAAGAGAGTGAGGAACTTAAAACCTTCTCTGCCTTGATCTGTACTGGTAAGACCCACCTTCAGCAATCCCAGGTCCCTAAAACTCATGGGAATGTCTGGAGGAAGGAAGAGTTATGCTCATTGGAGAAGGACCAGTTTAGGGAACACTTGAACAAACTGGACACACGTAAGTCCACAGGGCCTGGTGGGAGGCACCCACAAGTGCTGACGGAGCTTGCTGACGTCAGTTCTAAACCACCCAGTAGTCTTTGAAAGGTCATGGTGACTGGGGGAGATTCCCAAAGACTGAAAGGGAGCAAATGTCACCTCTGTCTTCAAGGAGGGCAAGGAAGAGGATCTGGGGAAACTATAGGTTGGCCAGTGTCACCTCAATCCCTGGGAAGGTGGTGGAGCAAATAGTCCTGGATACCATTGCCAGACAAGGAGGGACAAGACAAACATACGAGGGACAAGAAGGTGACTGGGAGAAGTCAGCACGTTTTTATGAAGGGGCAGTCATGCTTCACCAACCCAAAAGAATTCTGTGATGAGATGACTGCCTTCATGAATGTGGGGAAAGCAGCGGATCTTGTTTATCTCAACTTTAGCAAGGAGTTTGATACTGTCTCCTATAACATCATACACAAACTGATGAAGTATGGGCTAGATATATGGACAGTGAGTGGGAAGAAAACTGTCTGACTTGCTGGGCTCACGGGCTCTGATCAGTGGCCTGGAGCACTCCAGGGCTTGATAATGGCTCTAGTAGTGTTTAGTCTCTTCATTAACGACCTGGACAATAGGACAAAGTGTATCCTCAGCAGGTTTGCAGAGGATCCAAAATGGGCATGAGGGGTTGGTGCACCAGCTGGTTGTGCTGCCATTCAGAGGGACCTCAGCAGACTGGAAAAATGGGCAAATGGGAAACCTGGAAAACCAAGTTCAATGAAGGGAAATGCCAAGTCCTGCCCATCATGAGACACCCCATGCAGCAGTGCACACAAGGAACACACTGTCTCAAAAGCAGCTTTGCAGACAAGGACCTGAGGGTCCTGGTGGGCAACAAACTGACCATGAGCCAGCAGTGTGCCATTGTGGCAGAGATGGCCAGCAGCCTCCTGGGCAGCACGAGGAGGAGTGTTTCCAGCAGGTCAAGGAGGGTGATCCTTCCTCTCTGCTCAGTACTGGTGAGACACACCTGGGGTGTTGCGTCCAGGTCTGGGCTTCCCAGTAGGAGAGTGATATAGACATACTGGAGTGAGCCCAGCAAAGGATCATGAAGATTATACATCCATTGGTGCACCTGGCATATAAGGAGAGGCTGAAGGAGGTGGGACTCTTCAGCCTGGAGGAGGTTCAAGGAGGGTCTTACCAACATGTGTAAATACCTGATGAGGGGCAGTAAAGAAGAGGGAGCCAGGCCCTGTGGTGCCTAACAGGACACAAGGTAGTTGGCACAAACTGAAATACAGGAAACTTCATTTAAACATAAGAACTACTTATTGGGGTTTTGGTTTTGTTTTTTGTTTTGTTTTGAGCGCTTGAAGAGGTTACTTAGAGAGTTTTTGGAGTTCCTGTCCTAGGAAATACTCAAAATATGACTCGACAAGGTCCTGAGCATCCTATTCTGCAGGGGGTTGAACTAGATGATCTTCAGGGGTCCTTTCCAACCTCAGCAATTCTGTGGTTCTGTAATATGAAGGTGAAGTAGGTTGTTAAAATAATTACCCAAAGAGTTTTATCTGTGCTTTCAAAGACATAGTATGAAATAGGTCTTTTTTTTTTTTTTTCCAGGTTATTTGGGTGTTGTTTGATTTGTTTCAAGGATCATGTGCATTAATATTTTATAAATCTTGGAAGCAGTGTGGCATGGGTTATTGAATGTTATGGTGAGAGAGGCAGCACCTCTTGTCAATCACAGTTATTTCAGGTCTCATGTGTGCTGTTCCTCAGCTGCATATTAAAAACTGAAAATCATGAAAATTCTGCTTGCATTCGGTTTTGCAAATAAGCTGAATTTATGAGGTAACATTTCTTCAGGTTAATACTATGTAATGAATACATTTCCTGGAATAAGGGTGTTTTGTGTTGATCTAATTAGGATCATGTCAAGTAGAAGATGTGGATCTGGTTTGGGTAGGGGAAGATATTCCTTATCTGGAGCTCTAAGTACTGTGATGGTGGAAGAGGAGGAAAATGATCAGAACATGCTGTCAGCAGGGGATATAATAGGCAGATTGATGTATTCTCTGTGCACTTTTAAACTAGAAGTGCAAAACATTTATTTGAGGACAACATTGCAGGGGACACTCCTACTCGTACTCTGTTTTTTTTCTCCCTGGCTAAATGCCTTATTGAAATGTGGCTATGGTCAACATGAGTCTGCTGTGTTAGAATAATTTTGGGATGTCTGCATCTAGTGGTGTGATGTGAGATTCAAGTTAGTCAGGATCTGAGATGTCATTGTGAAACTCAGCTCCTAGACACTTGCTGAAATTTGGTCTCCAGTTGATAGAGCATGGGAAAGAGGTAATCAGAGATGGAGCACCACAGGCTTTGGACAATCTTATCTTCTTGCTTTCCTACATTCCAGGTGTCAAGTGTGTCAAAGGATTTGACAGTTGCTAGCAATTCACTGTGAAACCAATTTCAAGCAATAAATAATTTAAACTTGCAGTGAGACACACTACGTGAATCGGTTCCTTTTTTTTTCCGCCTCAGTTTTTAAGCAAGCCATATATTTGACCATGATGTGTAGGATCTTGAATTCCTTCCAAATTATAGCAATTTACTTTCGTTTGCATCTCTTCAGTACCTTTAAGAAAAAGACTCCTTATGAAGAATCTTAGCAAAGCTTTCTTATGTTAAATGGAACTACTTTTACAAATGAGGAAGCTGAGACAAATTGATTAGACAACTGCATCAACAAGCAAAAAAAACAAACCACCAAAAAAACCCAACCAAACAAAAAAAACCCACCCCAGAACCCTTTTTAATGATTATTTTTCTGATACAAACCAGAAGTGTATGCATAGGGTGGTGTTAGTGTAAAAGATTTAAGATAATGCTAGGTCCATGGAAATTAGCTCTTTGGGTCTCTTATACGTTAACAAGTTTGACTGTTATTCAAAAATGGCATTCAAAGCGTATGACAGCCATCTTCAAGTTTTATAGAAATTTCCATCGGCTTCTGTGAGTTTGTGGTTCCAACTGAAGCTTTGGTAATCCAAACTTTAACCTAAAGATATAGTAGAATGCAGGTCTCCCATGTGATATCACATTATGCTGTTGTCAAGTGAACTACTGGACTGAGCAGATCTTATTTTTTCTTTTAAATGGGATTTATTTGCCTTGAAGCCAAGATAAATTGGCTTCACATCAAAGAGTGATCTTTTCAGTGATGTACAGGAATAGAATTGTCAGGCAGCAAACGTATAAATTCTGTAAGAACGGACTCTCTTATGTTCATAAAGATTATTACCAATATAGTATCACTTAATGTGAAAATCTACATAAATGTTTTTTTCTTTTGCTGCAGAACTTTGTCAAGTGTGAAAATGAGCTCTTATAATTTGAAAAAAGTCTGCTTTTTCTTTCAGCTTTTGCTGTAAGTGTAAATCCTGAAGGTGCAGAAGATGAGACTGAACTACCAGTGCTGCAGGTAATAAATTTTAATTGCAGAGCAAGAACATTTTACAGACATCATAAAATCATCTTGAAGAGAACTGAGCAGAAAGCCTAACACCTGTGACATTGATTATTTTCATCATTGACTTCAGTGGTACTAAATGTCATATGATGTCTTTCTGTTCTGTATGGCATATAAAAGACTGTTAATGGGACACAAGTTGCATGTAGCACTACTCTTCTAGTATTACTAGGATCTTAATTTATCCTATGGATTCTTAGAATTACTAGAATAAACTTACACTTAGCACTTTTGATTTCTTCCTTACGCTGGATTTTCTGACTTATGCTGACATTTCTATTGAGAGAATTAGTTTTTTTGTGTTTTCTTGTGGAACAAAATTGTAATTTAGAAAACAACTTATTTTCTTTTTTTCCAGGATCAGCTGAAGAGTGCATTAGAAACTTATAGTAAAAAAAAAAAAAACTTGGCAATTTTGCACAGCCTCTACAAGTTGGTAGTGTTATTGCTGTTGGAAATAGTTTTTGAGTATATAACTTTTATTAGTTCAGAGACAGGTTTTCCTTTTTTCTTGGTTTTGTTAAATATATAATACATTGAAAGGGAAATGGCTGCCTCTGCTAAATTAGCATTATTACGTATTGCCACCCAAGTCACGGCTCAAGTAAAGCTTGCGTATGAAATTTCAAATTAACAGATTAGAAGAACTAATGATCAGAGCTGGCCCTACCATTAAACAGCATAGTGGGTGCTAGGTATGTATGCGTGTATGTCCTTTAACAGACGTCTGCCTACCAATTTTTTTTTTTTATATACATGTGTTTATAAGAGATATTTGTGTATGTATAAAAGAGATTTAAGGGAGGAAAATCAACTGGAATGAATTGAAAGAATCTATAACTGCCATTTAGACCTAGTGATCTCACATCAAATGCAGTAGAATTACGGTCAGAGATACATGTACTTAAATAATTTTTAGTTTTGTTGATGGTTGCTGTATCTACAGTAAATTTTCATAAATGCAAGAGATCCCTATTGCAAACTGCTGACCTGCTGCAGTATATCTGGGAGACTAGGTAATGTCATTCTGGTTTTGTTAGTTATAAGTTGCTGTTTGTCAAATTGCATTACTGTCTCAATCCAGCTATTTAATGTTATCATTCTTACATAGGATATAATTCATGAAGGCTTTCCTACTATTTTAGCGTTTCAGAAGCTTCCCTCAAATGAGGTCAGAGGTGTCTTCTAGAACTCGTCAGGCCAAAATCCTTTTTTTTCATGTATATATATGTTAACAGGAATGTAACAGGCAACAATTGTTTTTTTGTTTTAATAAAGGTAATTGTAAGATATGACTTGTTCATCACATTGTCTACCACAAAACACATACTTTTTTGTTTGCATAGAAAATTAATCTTTCCATGTTCTGTATGATAAAGGTTAACTTAGAATGTGGTGTATATTATGCTGTAAGATGGCAGTACTGTGTATAGTCATCAAAATAACTTAGTCTTATAAGATTTTTTTTAAACTTTAGACCCAGTCAGCAAAAAAGGGTCAAAAGCGTGGATGCAATGCAGTCATTCTTGAAAAGGTTTTACAAATGACTACCAAGGAAGTTGGAGCTTATGCATTTCATTGTAAAAGTCAGACCTGGACAGAGGGAGAGATCATCTGATGCAAGTAGGACTAAAAGGATTAGATGGATGTGATATTTTAAAAAGGGGGGAGGTGGGAAAAAAATGTGTTTATAAAAAGGAATTGTCACAAGGGTAGCAAAACTATATATGAGCTTTTTACTGAGGAGTGCCTTGTATGGTATTCCTATCTGAAGGTCTTAAAACACTTGAACCAAGATAAATTCTACAACATCCTTATGCAATTAGTAAAGATGATCTTAATTTTATGTGTGGAGAAACTAAAGCACTGAGGTGCTGTTACGAGGGAGAAATTGTGCAATAAATGAAGGCTCTGTTTTCCTTTCTACAATTTTTGTGGGAAGCACAGAGCTATTTCTCCAGTCCTATATCTCTGCCAGTCAGCAGTGCTTGAACAACACCTTTCCACCCAGCCTCTGTTATTTAGAAGAAACTGAATATGCTCCTAAGATATTTTTATCTGTGTGTCTTGGTTCCCTGGTTAATGATGCAAATGCAATGTCACTGTTTTCTGTTCCTCAACACTCTGTTAAAATTCCATCACAAATATATGTGATATCTGAGTAATTCCCAGTGAAGTCATGTTATGTACAACAACCTTTTAATATTTATTTGTCTTGGTATAAATTGCTTTTGAATCTTCCTTTAAGAATTGTGTTTCAAGAGATGCTTGATAGTGGATCAAATAATTAAGAGTGTGTTGGGTTGTGGGTTTTTGTTTTTTTGTTTGTTTTTTTTTTACACACTGACCAGGTGTGTTTGTATTATAGTTCTATGTTCCAGACTTTGTGCTTAGGAGATGTGTGTTTTTAAAAAACCCCAAGACATTGTTAGTATTAACTTAAAGAGCTCTGGTATAAATTGTCATGGAAAAGCATTCCCTCTTTTTATTTTTCCTTTTGTTCTTTCATTATATTGTCTAAGTAATGGTATACAAACACATAGAAATTCTGTTTCAGTTCTCAATGATGAAAATCTTTTTACTTTAGTTTTTTTTTATTACTTCTTAAGTTAAAAACCCTGTGTATGCATTTGCAATCTGATGAATGCTTTGACTCTCTGTGTCTCTCTATAGAAATATTTTGAGTTTTTGCGTGTATACTTATTTTGCTTTTTCTCCTTTCTTCCAGAAGTCTGAAAAAACTGGAACAATTAGTAAAACAAGCAGAGGTAAGCACTGTATAGTCTGTGTTTGTTTTGACTTGTGGCTGCCTTTTTAGTATAAATAAAATACGGTTATGCTTTGAAAAGTGACCCTGTGAATAGTGCCTAGAGGCTCAACAGCATTGTTAGTTAATTGCTGACTCCCAAATACTCTGATTGTTTTTTTTTCTTTGCTCATGTAGTCTAATCAAACAGAAGCTTCTCAGTCTTTTTATTTGCAATTCTTGTAGTTAAGTGGTTTTCTAAAAATTTGCACTTGCACTATGGAACTGATGCATTGCTTTTTGTAGCACCCAGTATTTTAAAATCAAATTTCACGATACTTAGTAGCAGGTCTTGTAAAAATTTAACATGAAACTGCATTTTATCATTCTGCTAGGCTGTCATGGTACTTGAAATAACTAGGGTTATTATAAATTACCTGTAACAACTTGTAATAACTTTGGAATATCCAGAAACAAGTATTTAAGAAACATGTCAAACATTAATAGGATACTGAGTGGTAAAATACATTTTTACTGGACATGTGAGATAAATTATGAGAATAAGAATTCTGCAAGCTTCTGCCTGTTCTGAAAACAAGTCTGATGTCCTTCCAGCAAAAAGTTTACAGACCTGAGTTAAGGACTTGGAATCTCTGCACTGTAACGTAGTGCTGCCTCTGCTATACTATAGTACTTCAGTCCTTAAAGCAACTTGGAACTGTTGTGGTGCTTCTAACTGTTCTACACCGTGAGCACTTGGGTCTGCTTGTTCTAAAAAGATCCAGCTTGACCATGTTCCTGTTGCAGCAGTTTTCTGAGTAGTTGTGAGTTCATTCTGACATCAAAGCTGAATACCAGGAAGACTTAGCATGCTTTTAGTAGAGTTGCTAACAGAACTGTGAACGGTGCTGAGAAGATCTGCTTTTTGTTTCTTTGTTGGATTTTTTTTTTTGGACTTAGATGCAATGTCTGTCCCTAACACAGATAATCATTTTTGTGGAAAATAATGAAGTCCCTTGTCCCATTTATCTCTCATTTTACCATTGAAAGGTCAAGACCTGTCTATAGAAGCTTCATTACTCTCTTTCCATGTTTATCCATCCTTACCTGGTGTCAGAGTCCATTTTCTCTTGTGTTCTTTCGTCTCTTTCTGTGCAATCTCATAACACAGCCAGGTCCTGGTTGCTGCATTTATCACTCCCAGCAGAACTACTGTGTCTCACTTCATAAACACTCAGGAACGCATTGACAGACTTTTTTTTTTTTTTTTGGCTTTTGACAGTGCTCAGTTTTCATAAGTTTTAAGATAATCTCATTATTTAGGGAAGTTATATTTAGGAATGTTACAGTGGTACATTAGTGATGTAACGACCATCTGTCATCTATTGTTTGTTTCAGTAGGAGATCACTTTAAAGCAGACAAACAAAAGTATTTTGTGCAGCAGGTAGCAAAATTCAGAAACTTGCTGCTGCAGGAGGTTGTGGAAGCAGACCATACCAGCAGTTTCAAGAGGGAACAAGTCCATAAATGTATGGTAAGATAAATAGGCAGCAATGTATCATCTGGCATTTCCTAGTACAGTAGTTGTGGATGCTGTTAGAGTATGAGGAGCGCTGGAGAAAGTGAAGGTCTTGTGGTGTCCGTAAATAGTGTTTCCCTATTGCTACTGTTAAAGACAATACGCTGGAGTAGATAGACCATTGTTCTGATGTAATAAGTCATTTGGAACAGGTTGCCCAGAGACGTTGTTGAGGCCCCATCCCTGGAGGTGTTCAAGGCCAGGCTGGACGTGGCCTTGGGCAACCTGGTCTAGTGGGAAGTGTCCCTGCCCATGGCAGGGAGGTTGGAACTCGGTGATCTTTAAGGTCCTTTCCAACTTTAAACATTCTATGATTCTATGATTTCTTTTGTATTCTGTCTTTTTTTAAACGAGATTCTGCCTCTCCTTAAAGAATATTTTTTTAAAGTCTCTTTTAACCCATTTCTGTGGGTAAAATCAAGGAAGGACTTGAAACAGAATGAAGTCCTTGATGGTTCTTAGTTCTTTTGATTTTTTCATTCTTTTCAAACTGTCATACAAGGAAATTCTTTTTCCTTTATGAATAAGCTGTACCTTTTTACCAAGGAAGCAAAGTTACCATGTGTAGTTTTCATTTCAGAGTTTTCAGAGTCTTTTTAAGTGTCCTTAGCCAAGCCTTTGAAGACAGGTATTAACTTCTTGATACCCCAGTCACTGGGAAGACAACTGTAATACAAAGACGACTGAACTTCATGTTCTCATGGTTGCTTGTCTACCCAGAATGTGAGGGATTGGCAAAGAGTTTAATGCATGGGTATGTTATAGTCCAGCCGAAAGATCAGTGATGTGACTTGTGTTGGCTCATCATTGCCATGCTATGGCAAAAAGTCTTGCCCTGCAAGTGGATGTAGAGGTACTCTATTGGTGGGTGTATTTGTCCCCAAATGGTAGGCCATATTGCTGACCAACAGGAGGTTCTGCTTTTAGAATATTTGAATAGAAAAAACCAAATCTCTTCTTGAAGGGAGGCAGTGGCTATGTCAGGCTAGTGTACAATGATTTTGCTGCCTTTGGAAACTCAAGGAAGCATTGAGCTTTGGAATGCGAGTTCTCTAGATTCTTTCTGCAGTCTGTGGAAAGAGAGGGACACTTCCAGAGGGTGACTGAGATCCAAAGCAGGTTGAGTCATTCTCTCTGGAGATACTACTGTCACGATAAGAGTATCTACTAGATTTTGGCTGGGGGGGGAGGTATTTGGTTAGGGTTTTTCTCTCCCTTGCCTCCCTTCCCTCCCTTCCTTCCTTTTCTTCGCTTTTTCATGTTAAATGAGAGAAGAAGAATGAAGTAATCTTCAGCTTTTTTTTTTTTTCCTTCTTGGATTTGAGTCTTGCAAATACGGTGATGCTATACTTCCTCTGATCTGCAAATACCTGCAATATTCTGAAAGGATTAAAAGTATTTCTCACAGTTATAACCTTTTAATATTCTGCCTGGCCTAGTTCTGCATTTTATCTAGGCTTTCTAGGAGTTAGTGAGGGAAGTTTGGGTGAAAAGGTGAGAACAATGTGCAAGGTTTAAATAAGCTTTTTCTGTAGTATCATAGCAAATGAATAGGCGATAAACCTTTTCTTTGGTTAAGTAAGTGTTAAGAAACATCATGAGTTCTGAAGTGGTAAGCAACATACTTTATTGTATTACAAAACTGTGAAAGTGTTCAGTTTGTGGAACAACTGGATACTATTATTTCTAATTTCAAGGAGTAAACAAGTGTACTAAAATGTAGTGCATTTGGAATTGATTTGAAGGGGTTTTTTGGATGTCGCTAAGGCAAGTAGTTTACTAAAATTCAGGAAATAGAAATATCAGAAATACTCAAACTGTGTTGAGAGAGAGTGTTTGAAGTTAGGATGGCTTTCAGTTCTCGTGCTGCATGCCATAAATAGATAAATCAGTCGTTACAATGCTTATTGCATGTGACATAAATAAGCACACACTGAGATGAGATTGTGTCTCTATATCTATGATTCTATATGCATACACTACCTTTGATTCAGAAAGTTCCCATTAACTTTATATAAGCACATTTAAAAATTATTGTTCTTAGTGTGAGAAAAGACATTTCTCTGCTTTTAACTGTGGAAGCTTTCTACTAGGCTACAATAATTTGCTCAAAATATAATGACTAAAAGATCCTGATTTGGAGTTTCAGATTGATTTTAGAGTTGGCATAAAAGGAGGGGAAGGCCTACAGAATATGCAAGTGGCCCAATTTTTTTAAATCCAAATTGGAAGCTGAGTTTTCTGACCTACGTGGTAGAGACTCTGGTTTGTCAGTTAAAGCACCAGTTTAGTTTTTGTCTGTTAGGTAATTAGGAAGGAGCTCAGGAGCCATTTTCACTCTTTGTTTCTAGAACAATAGGAGAGAAAGGGGAAGACCCACCTCAGAATATACTTACAGCCTGGAATTTAAGAAACTGACTTGGAATGCGAAAGACCTACATTCAGGTCCAAACTGCTCTGCAGATCAGATGTGAATTTGGGTTTCTTGCATCCTGGGTGAATGCTTTATCCTCTGGCGAGCAGAGAAAGACTAGCCAGCAACATCCAACATCATCTTACGTTCTTCTAGGAGCTTTCTTCCTCTTTTTTTTTTTTTTTTGTCCTGAAATGTTTTTTTTATTATTTTTTCAGTAGCTTTGACTTGACTAAAGCAGCAGTCTTTTGTGGTGAACAAACTTTGCAAAAAAAAAAAAAAAAAAAAAAAAAAAAATAA